CGCAGGAGCTGCCGGAGCCACTCAGCGTTAATTAACTCAAGACACTCCCCTGAACGACTGAGTTGCAAAAAGAAAGAAAGAAGAAGAAAAAATCAACCTAAACAAAAAATACCCCACGCTGCACAATCCCCTCCTCCATCGCCCTCCTCCGCAGGCAAGAGAAAAAAATAAAAAGCAAGCAAGAAAAAAAATATATCTTCGGCTGCTTCTGTATTTTTTTATTTTTCGGCCTGGGTTTCCGTTTCGGGAGGACCGGGTGGGAAAAAGAAAAGAGACTGCTCGGGGGAGGTGAGAGGCAGGGTCCCACCGCGGCTTTAGCTCCGAAACGCTGCGCTCCGCAGCTCGGAGCGCTTGCAGCTCTCTGCAAGCTGCCTGCAAGGCTCAGAAAATCCTGAGATTTTCCTGCTTTAATGGTCACAACTAAAGCTTTCCCTGTGTTTTTGTTTGTTTGGTTTGGTTTATTCTCTCAGATAAAGCAAAAAAACAGTCATGCCCCCCAGCCCAAAGGGAAAGCAGAGAGTAAAACATGTTTAAATGATGTTGCTTTGGAGGTGGAACAGATCCAAACAGCTAAATCCCAGACACCACGGGTGCGAGGATGACTTGGAGGATACAATGGAGGATTGAGGCACTGGAGGGCCAAAGCCATGCCCATCTCTGCCTTTTTTTGTATAACCCCGTGCATGTTTCTTAACATCCCAGCATGTTTCTTAACATCCCATCGAGCTGTGGGAACTCGTTATTTTCTTTCTGCTCCTTGCCTGGCTCTTGCAGGAGTGGGCAGGCTGTTGGCGTGGGTTGCAAGGAGGAGCCTTTGGCATCCCTACATGCTTCACAGGCATAATTAAAGGAGGCTCATAAATGGTGTTGTAAAAGGAAAAAACCAGATAATATATTAAAATTAGCGATTTCCTGCCAAATCTTCAGACATCCCTCCATATCAAAATGGCCATGTAGGGATCAGGCTGGCTTTACTATTTAATGCAGTTTTTACAAACCACCTCTATTCTGTGGGAGCCTGACCTATGACATTTTTAAATACAGCCCTGGATAGTTCGCCTCAGCTTTGATAAGCTGGAGTTGCCTTGGGATAATATAATCCAGTGCCTCTGAAAAAAAGACTGTTGAAACCTTCAATATGAATATAAGTCACTCTGTATCTTCATTCCCTAAACCAAGCTTCCAAATGTATGCTCTTCTTTAAAAAAGAAAGAGAAAATACATAAAATAGAGGTAATAGCTGTTGCCTGAATTTTGTGGACTTGTTCCTGGTTATCATTCTCCCTATAGCTAGCAATGCTGGTTTCCTTTTTTTCAATAGCAGATAAACAAAAATCATAGTGAAAAGTACCTTATCCATATGCCAATCCTACTGAAATCTGCAGGATGTTTTTCTTAACTGTGAAAGCTCGCTATAAAAAGACACTGTGCTACAGTGACTGCAGCTCCATTAAACCCTTTTTAACACACATATCACTTGGTTCCCAATGACACTTTGAAGTCCTTAAAACTCATGAGCATATTGGCTCATGAGCTCTTGCTGCAAAAGCAGGCTGCTAATAATAGGCAAGAAAAAAATCTTCCTAGCAGAGGTCTTGGGAATGGTTTCCGCTTTGTATCTATAGCAAAATACAAATCTAAACAACGGCGCTTGTAAAGTACATAGATAGATTCCCAAGCTGCTCCCAGGCGTGTAAACCTGCAAAGCATACAGCTCGAGCCTGTAATCGGCCGTGTTTTCTTCCATTTCTGCTTGTGGAAAGAACTGGTGAGATAACCCAGAATTGTGCATAACACAGAGCTAGTTTTCGCTATACCTTGTGCATTAGCCAAGCTCTTAAACCAATTAAAGAAAAAACCCAAAGCTTTTCAAATATGCAGTCTGGTCAGAAAAAAACAAGGGATTTGTATGCATAAATTTATAGAGGACAGCCGGGAAGGTGACCCTCCCCCTTGCTGTTGAATCTTTCTCCTTTCCACTCAAATCAGCTGGCAAGCCCTGCCTTTTGGAAATGAGATTTTATATTACTTCCAATTCCCTGAGACAGTAAGACCTAAAGCCGTCTTGGTGCAACAGTGAAGGAGCATGTGGCGTCATCTCTTCATCTTAGTAAGTGCGCGTGAATGGTGTTCATGGGAGGTAAAAAAGCACGTTAGATCTGCCCCAAAGGAAGAGATGTGGTCATAAATGCTTCCATTAGCTTGCATACGATGCTGGAGCCAGGGAAGAAAAATCTGACACAAGGGTGACTCAGGAGGTGCTGCCCACCTAGAAATAAAATGAGGCAGCAAGAGAGATGGGAGACTAGAGCTCTGCCCTCTGCAAAGCACAAGGGTGATGATGGACTGCCCCCAGCCCCCCCAAAAAGGTCTGGCAGGATCACCTTATAGCTTGCGAGCATCTCTGCCTCCCTAGCTCTCTTGGTTTTGCAATGTGTTTGCAACCTGGATCCAGCCAGGTAGCTCAGGTGGTCAGGGCTGAGCTGCAACAAGGCCCTTGGGCAGGGTGCCTGGGTGTGGGTCCCAGGTGGGGCTGGTCAGGGCTCTTAAAGCCCACAGGTGCCCCAGGGCCTTGATACTTGCCTTGGAGGACCATGAGAGCTAGGTGGGCTGCAGGAATGATCTCTGCAGAGATGCTCCTGGAAACACCATGAAGTACCTGCCTGGAGCATCCTGCACCTATGTAGAGTTGAGAATGCAATCTACATTTTTGTCCCTTTCTGGCTCTTCTGAAGAGGGGCTGTGAGGAGTCAGAGGTGAGGTGAGGACATTGGCTCTTGCAGATGGGAAACCCTCAGGGCAGTGACCAAGCTCTGCTGCAGACACACAAGTTGTTCTCACATTGCCAGGTGGAAGATGTAGGGCCAAGGGAATTTTTTCAAGGTCGAATTTGGACTAGTGATAATAGATATATAAATAAACAATTGTGCACATATACATCATATGCAACCTCCACACACAAACCGAGGAGCCTGCAGCTCTCTCATATAGCATACAGGATGGTATATTGCATTCTCCTTCAGGTTTTGGTAAAACATCCAAACTTCTCTGCAGAGAAGTCCTGCAGCTCTCTGCAGCTTTCCCTCAGGATGCCAGGACACACACAAGATGTTGCTCATTTCACCCTGCTTGTTGCAAGAGATCATTACATCCTTTCAATTTATGCTTCTTGGGGAGTTTTATCCCATGCCAGGGGCCACAGAGTGAAACGCAAGTTACCGTATTTCCGCATGCAAGTCAGCAGCAAGTGTGGGGGGGGACACTACCTAAGAGAGGGCTTCGGCTGGGGAGCACCAGAGGGGGCTGCAGGGGCCCCACTCGAGTAACTCCCAGCTCAAGCTCTCCAGCTGCAGTCTCAAGCCTCTCTCAACTTAGAGCTGAGAACAACTCAGCTCCTCCATTTCTCGTGCTTCCACACAAGTTCCTGACAGCCTGATGTGCGCTGGCTGGGGCAGTGGTGACAAATAAGCTAGTGGACAGCTAAGATTTCAGCTTCCACCTTTGCTGCCCCTGATAGTGATGCAATGGAACTGAGTTATGGCTTCGAATTTTCTGAATAAGGGCTTAAACACAATTTAAGAGCCACCCTTTCCCTGAAGGGGACAATTCCATGTGGTTGCCACTAGAAGAGTGAAATGAGATGCAAGGATGGAATTATTCTCAACACTGCTTTCTGTGATGGGTCTCTAAAGACCTGTTTATGTGTATAGCAAATACATTGAAAAAAAGCCCTTGAGAAGAGAATGGAAAACACTTGCATGAACCCCAGAACAGGACATTCAAGCATTGGTATGTCACCTGTTAGGATTAGGGACCACTTGGTTGAAAATCTGTTGTTGAAATCTGTAATAGTCACCTTATGAAAGGAGATCAGCTGGCAGTGTATATTAATCCAGTGTTTTCTGTCCAAGTCACTGCACAAATTGCTGCACTTTACTTTCTGTTACATATTTATTTTTAAGATAGATGCATTTTTTTTTCTCTTCGTCACATTCACGCATGCATTTTTATGATGATTAAATATTATCTTGGAAGGCCGTCTCTCCCCCTCTCTCCTCTTTGACACGTTGTTCAGTTCTTAAGGGAATAGACATAAGCCTCATGTTTTTCTGTCTGGAGGGATAAAACCTGCAGGAAGAAGCTTTTAGATCAAAGATCCTCTCAGTCCCTTTTCTTCCTTTTATTTTCAAGCCGTCGTCCTTTGTGCCCTTTGACTCTGAATTTCCCACTGGTTCACTGCGTTGGCTATTTTTCATCACGGCTCTCTGAATTTCTCTGACTGCCATAATCATCTCCGTGGTTGGTGCATTATCACTGGCATGGAGGAACATTTCCAAAGCCCCATGCGGATTTGCTACCACAGCCAACTGAGTCATTCCCTCTGCCCCAGTTTCCTTATCAGTCTCTGTTTTCTGTTCAAGTTATGCATCTATTTCAGACTCTCTCCCATCTCATTGTCATTCAAAGCTGCAGGGAAATCATTTAAACCAATATTTTCCTACACTCACATCTGAAAACTCGTTCCAAGCTATTGCCAAGTGGTAGCTGAGATGATTATCCTTTATTCTGCAACCTTTAATGAGATTAACCATCCCAGCTTGCATGAGCTGTTGATACCTGCACTCTTGGAAACATAAATCACTGACACGACTTCAGTTTGGGGCATAACAAAATGTGGGAACACAATTCTTAGGGCTTTCAGGTAAGGGATGGGTGACATATACCGTTGCATTATTGGTGACACCATACATTTCCTTAGCTGTTGGGTTTTAGTGCAGTAAAACACGCCAGGCTGTTGTTGAGTTACCAGGTGCAGGTAGCACAATAAATTCAGAAGTAACGTTACCAACCCTGATTTTGCAGTTTGAGTTGTCTGGGCACACCTGTGGGCCTTTTCAGGTCTGAAGAAGGCCTAATTCTTGCTATCATCCTAAACAAAAGAAACAACCCTGGCAATTAAAAGAGCAAGAGGGTGTGGCAATATCACATAGGATGGACTAATTAGAAAGGCTTAGTTAGAGCCCTTAGATAACCGGGTCACTTAGAGGCAGCTGTAAATACAAGTCAGGAAGCCCTGGATGGACTCGTTGCTCCCCTGTGGTCTGGGTACTTGTTTAAATCATGATAGAAGTAAGAGCCAAGTGTTACCAACATTTTTTTCTGATATTATTGCCTTGCCATAAATAGGCATTAGCCTTCTAGGCAACCCAAAATCCGAGGTACTGTATCAATCCCTGCAGAGCTTTTGCTATTGCGTCATTTTTTAAACAGAAATGTAATGTAGCCCCCATTAGGCTCCTGGTTTAGTGCTGATTGAAGCTACAGTGGAGAGGGAAAAATTTGTCCCAGATGCTGCTCAGGTTCTAAGTGTTTACAAAGGGAGTGCCATGACATCAAAAGAGAAGAAGAATAAATGTTTGGTTACATTTGTTCCATCTGATCTTTCCTCCAGTAACGCAAATAAAAGACGTGCAGCTTGACAGCCTCTTGATCTCAACTCAGGACAAGCGCCAATAAAAGATAATTATTCCCAATGTCTGGGTTAGGGTAAAAGTCATCGAAGGCATTTTTAGGACATACCAAAGTGCACAAGATTATTTAATCGTGTTGTTTGAGGCTCGTACCAGGACTTCCGTGCTCAGAAATGGGACCTGTACAACATATGCACTGTTGGTGGCACTTCACAGTTCCATAATAGAGCAGGAGATTTATTATTTTTTCCCCCTTTTTTCAAAGAGACGTTTCACTGATTTGCTTTGATAATAAAAGATCTGCAGGTGAGCTGGACATTTTCCATCAGCAAAATGGCTCTGTAGGGATAGCATCCGTCATCCATTGATGAATATGCAAAGGTAGCGCAAGCTGATTTTTCAAATATTAATTAAGCAAGTCACTGGTCAGCCAGCCATGTAGGGAGTTGTCATGCTCTATGGGGAAGTCAGGCTGCATGAAAGTACCCAAAGCACTTGGAGAGCTATAAATCCATTAACTCAAATGAGCTGAGGTCGAGGTTACTGCCAGGAAATATTTCGCTGACCTCACTGATAATCTGGTTTTACACAGACAAGCCAAGCTCAGGCATGAGGTCAGCCCTTTAACACTTGATCCAGTGACAGGTCTGTCACTGAAAATTCATGGCAGGCTTATTTGCACTTGTCTGCCTTTTCACTTGCAGCAGATTTTATGCTGATGTCTGACATTGATGGTTTAGCCTTGCATATATATGAGAAGATGACACGGGCAGATGGTTTTAATTACACCATTCATAGTCACCTCACCATAAAGCAGAAACGTGCCTCTCCAAAACAGCTCTGAAGTCAGAAAACCTTTCTTCCTTCTTTCTGCTTCCTTACCCTAGATGAGTATCCCCCAGATTTATTTCCTCCCAGCTTCAGGCTCAGAGCTGTATTTTCTTTTCTTATTTTTTTTTTTGTTTTCTGGCCCATTCCGTAAATTAGGGTATTAGGAAATAATACTTGGTTAAATACAACAATGTTTGTTCAGGCTCTCTCTGAGGGATGTGGTAAGGTGAGCAGCTGGGGCTCAATGCAAATCTGGCAGGTTAATTCATCCCAGAAAAGATTTGAACCTGGAGAAGGCAGGTGTGACTCCTGCCTTCCCCAAGAGAATCAAACTCCTTCGCCCCGAGACAATCAAAACCAGTGGCACAAGGACCATCAGACTGTAAGTGAGGGAGGAAACAGGCACCAGGCACTACATCATGTTGGGTTTTTTTGTTTTCCTACTCAAGATATGCCCAGAATATTTCCACCTGGTCTCTTGCTCTTCCACACATGTTGGAGCTGTTAAATCATCCATCAAGAGCACATCTTTTGTGCGAGGCAGGATGGGTGCCTGCCGGGATTCCTTGCTCATTATTGGCCTGCTGTGGTCCTTGTCAGCCAATTCGATGAAATACAAACAGCATTTCAAATAAACCTTCACTCTCTTGTGGGACCTTTTCAGCATCTTTCTGCTCTTGCTCTGGATGCATAAAAGAGCTGCGATATCTTCCGCTGAGTTGCTGAATTCTTTTTGAACCCTGATACATGCTCGGTACAAGGTTTATGAAATAAAAGGGGTACAGGCATATGCATTACCAAAGTTTAGCCAACAAAAATTGTTCAGCTGAAACCAGCAGGCAATCTTCTGCCTGATGATCAACATCATCAAGCCTGATGATGTTGGACTCTCTGCATTTTTCTGCAAAGATATGTTCAGCGCCACCAAAAAAAGTATGGTTCAGGCTTTTCTGAGCCTTTTTTAACAAAAAAAATAAAGCTGCTGGACACTACAGCAGGGATTCTCTTTTCTTTGCCTAAATAATGTAGGGTCAATGCCATACAACCGGGTGGTGAGTAGAGAGAGGAGGACTCAGGAATGCTACTCAGGGTTTTACTGGAGCGTGACACCAAAGTAGCATCTCCCCTGTCTTCTTGGTTTAGAAAACAAATTAACACTGGAGTATTTGTGAATTTTTTCTCCCAGCTACTTGTTCACTACCATTCATCACTTAGACTCAGCGCTTATGTATATTTAAAGCAAGCAGCGTGAATTAACAACAAAGCTTGAGTGTATTAAATAACCTCCAGTAAAACTCCTTCCCTTCACTGGAGTCATTTCTCAAAATGAAAATACCTGAACAAGTTATGGAGATCTCCAGACCCTGAATCAAATGCAAACTGGCAGCCGCTTCTAGTATCAATCAGATGCCGAGAAATGTTTCCCAGGAAGCAAAAATGTTAATAATTATCTAGCTTGGTATGCCCAAATCTATTCCATGCATATAGGAAACATCTCTGTTTGTGGTCCATGGGTGCGCTCCCTCCTGCATGGCAGGGATGCTGCAGATTCCCAGCAAGGAGCCTGGGTAATCTTGCCTCCCAGTGACAGCGATGTTGCTAAAAGTCCAGATAGGAAATTTCATTTCAGATAGGGAATTTCATCTTGTATTAGGAGCTTGTTCAGTGTTAAGTTTTGGGATCGGGCAGAAGCGTAGCACAGAGTATAGGCAGGTGTGGCTGTGGGTAGCACTGAGAGGGTTAACACTGAGGGGGCAACACTGGGAGCCCTAGCCACAATACACAAAGATATTTATGCAAAGTTATTTAGCTATCCAGGGAGCTGGGTATCCAGGTCTCACCGATGTTTTTCTTCTACCCAAGCTTTTCCCCTTTTCACCCTCTGTAGACAAATTCCTGCCTTGAGAGTCTTCCTGCCCAAAAGCTCTGGTGAAGAAACCATGAAAGTTGGTTAAGAAATTTTAATGATCTCATGTTGCAAGTCATCACTTAGTGATGAGGAAGTGAGAAGAAGAAGGAAAAATACAGAGTCATGTTCCTGCCCAGAAGTGACCATCTGGGTTTGGGTATCTGGTTCTCCGATCCCTTCGTGGCAGCTGAGTTTTGACAAATGCTTAGCACTCACATTCTGAAAATCAACTCTCAGTGAAGCTTTTCAGGATGAGCAGCCAAAACCCAGAAGCATCATCGTTGCAGAAATTGTACAGAGAGATTGGGAACCGCTGGATGCCAAACAGGTACAGGAAAGTTGCACGATTTTTTTTAGGACATGCAAAGAAGCTATTTCTTTTCCCTGAAGCTGGTGTCATTTCCAGACCTTCAAAACTAGAGAACACTTGCCCTAGATGAATTTGGTGCATTGTGCTATTTTAGGGAATAGTTCGTGATGCAAAATTCATAATTCATGTGTCTCCATCATTCCTTTGCTTTAATCCTATATCCAGCAGTTTCTTTTGATGACTAGCAAAAATAACTACAGTCGCTGCAGATGAAGGTAAGCTGTAACTTTCATCTAAAACCCTCTGCCTATATTTATCAGGTAATTGCTTGTGTTTTCAGAGAGGTGACCGAGTCCTGCTCCTGCCAAGAAGCTGCTCCGTGGGCTCCCAAACCCCTCCTTTGCCTGAACACAGCATCTGGGAGAGCATCCTTGGTGCATGCCTGTATTCCTGAGGAGAATTCACCTCGCTGGAGGGCTGCCTCAGCAGCGTGGGCTTGTATCCACAGAGGATGCTAAACATTTCTCCCTGAGATGCAGGAGGGAAGATGCTCTGGACCACATTCAGCTGTAGCATCAGGAGACAAAGCTAGAGGTGCATTTCTCGTCCTAGAGGTGTGGGCTGTTTGACGTGTCTCCCACACCATATTGTTGAGCCACCATTTAAACTCTCTGAATGTGGTTTTCACCCCCTCACCCCCAGAGAAGCTGGTGAGCAAGTGATAGGAAAGCGCGCTGATACTCCAGGAAAGCTTTCCTGATGGAGCCAGGTTATGGCTCCCAGGTGGAAATGAATTATTCCTGTCCTCTCAGCAAGATAAATCAGAATGCACTGTGGATACGGGCTGTCTGAAGT